GGGGGGGGCTCTAGATCAACCACTGGTGGGGAAAAATGAGTTGATTCTTAAGCAGAAGAGCCTTCCTAATGGTCCTGTCAGACAATCCGCTTAAAATGGCAGCCGGTCGGGTCTATTGTACATAATATAACGTAGGTTTCAATCCCAGGGTCAGCAGAGTGGTTTCACCGTTGGGCCCCTGACCAAGGCCCTTAACCCCATCGCTGCAAGGACTGGCTGACTGCTTTCTCAAAAAAAAAAAAATCCCATTGCTTTGAATAAATAAATGTAAAAGTAGACAGTGCCATTCAGAAGTAACAACGTGAGTCAATCTCAACGGCCATTTATTGAAGTTGGAAGTTAAATCCAGCTGTACCACCATCCTCTTCATAACCAGGTCATTTATCCTTTATTATGCACATTAACAATCATCAATTAGCAAACCGCTAAGTGCCGTACAAGAATAAATACATACGTTTGTTGTTTTCAACCTGAGAGTACTCCTGGGTTTTGCTCTGTGATGGTGAAATAAAAGCATCATGGCTTGGAATCACTGCAGCTTCTGGGCCGGGTCGCAGTTAATGCTGTTTACATCAGTGCTAGCCATTATCCTCATCCACTGTTTCTTTCATGATTTGCCATCAAAAAATAAAGCATGTTTTAAAAATGATGTACAAAACAGCTACTAAACTTGGGGTTTATTTAAATGAATGTGAAAATACAAAACAATGTGTAAAATAAAAAAAAAACACTTTGTGGGTTTAGTACAGCTTTATGTGGAGAACAGAGGGTTGTTTCCACGGTTGAGTCGTGTTTGAGGTTACTTGATTCAGCAGCTTGATTTGCTGACAAGGTGGCGGTACGGCTGCAATACAGCAAGGATACTGAGGGCCCAGCATGCAAGGTGCAAACAAACTTTAAAAAAAAATTGCAGTAGTCGCAGGAAGTTTACCGCAACCTTCCCACCTCTGGTAGGAAAGGAGTCGATTCTGTACGAAAATGGTAAGTATACCTGCTCGTTCCCATGTTGAAAAGGCCCGTAACAAATCACGCTTTAATTCAGAGAGACAGTTCAGCCAGAGTTTATCTGCCACATACCCTCTTTCATCATCTTAAAGGAGTGTTTACTGGAATGTTTATTTATTGTAATTTTATAATTATCTGTCTATTAGAAAAGTCTGTTAGAACTAGGGCAGGACACTGATATATTAACTGCTAAATAGTTTGCAAAAATATAATGTATTCAGGCCAAAAAACAAAAACCCCTGAAACTAGAGTTTGTTCCCTTTGTAGGTAGGTAATACTGGCGTGCCACCCTGACAGCTGGGTGTCCACTGGGAATCTCCGTGTGTCAGGTCTGTTGTCAGTCCTGGCGCCTCTGGGACATTTTTTTTCTTTTCTTTGTGTCCTGTGAGTCCCGGGGGTGTCACCTCTCATTGGATATGATGACGGAGGTGCCGATGTAATGGGGGATCTCTCTGTGGGTCTCCGGTGAGGAGGGGGGACTTTGGTCCCTGTAAGCGTAAGGGTTCATCTGCTCTCCCCGGTAGCTGTAGCCGTCAGCTAAGTGTCCCGCCAGCGTGTTGGGTGTCCCCTGCAAGGAGCCATGCTTGGTCAGCACGTGGTGGAAGTTGAGGGACACGTATGGGGCCTGGTTCTGTATGCCCACCCCGGCAAAGCCTGACCTCGGCTCCTCCTCAGCCCGACCCGCACCCCCCTGCGGCTGCTCCATGAGCTCGGGGGTCTCCCGGTCCCCGTTGCTGTCCGCATGCTCCGTCCCCAGGTGGCCATACTGCGACTCCATCAGGCAGAGCCTCCGCCTCTGCTCCAGCATGACCTGCATGGGCAGGTGGGCGCCCAGGCCCTGCAGGGGCTTTAGGTGTTCACAGCTGGCCCTGTCCAGCCCGGGGGGGGCCTTCTCGGCGGCCCCCACAGGGCTCTTGGCATCACCCTTAGCCACGTGCAGCCCGGCCTCCGCCTTGCTCTGGTGTAGTGCGCTGCGGTCAAAGGGCTCCTCTTTGAACCGGCTGTTGGGTCTGGAGGGGGCACAGCCGGTGTAGTCTTCGAGGGTGGGGTCGCTGACGTACCTCCGGCCTGCCAGGGGCCCTGGGGTTGGAAAATGATACAATATGGTAGTGTTCCTCAACCCAGTCCTTGGGGAACCCCCAGATTCCCTTCCAGCTCCTGGCTAATGAAGAACATCAAATACCTGGTGTAGGTGTGTTGGGAGCTGGGAGGGAGCAAAAATGTGGAGAGTCCGGGGGTCTCTGAAGACTGGACTGAGAAACACTGCGCTGAGCCTTCTTAATATCCCAGACATAGTGAGTCGAACACCAGCTCTCTGCTCAAAGCTGTGGTGTCCTACTGAGGCTAACGACACGGCATAAGGAAAGGGTGCGTTGAGCCCCTCCCAATGTTTCCTCAGTGTTGTCCCCCCCCCAACAGATTTTCCCTGCATGTTTTAACTTCAGTTTCCCGGCAGGTTAACCCTGACTTGTGGGCTTAACGCCTTCACTAATGCGGTTAATGGTTCTGAAAGTGACAGCAGGAAAAGTCCATTTGGACTGTTCTAGTATGGAGAGATGGGGTGGCGCTGTGGGTCAGAGGTCATCGAATGTATTTGTTGTTAATCTCGGGATACTTTCCCATTTGGAAAACAAGGCCATTTTCCCGACTCTCCTGTCCTGTCCAGCGTAATGCACTGCTGCTCACCTGCATATGTGGCGGTGTGGGGGAGGGGGGAGCTGCTCAGTGCCTGCCCGTGCAGGGGCTTGGCAGAGCGGGCATTGGCGCAGCCCCACCGCCCTTCGCCGTGTGGCTGCAGTGGGCCCAGGAGCTGGCAGGGGGGGCTCTGTCCCGGCCGCGGCTTCCGTCCGCCCAGCGCGGCTGGTTCAGCAGCAAAGTGACTGTACGCATAGGGGAAGGCCAGTCCATAAGGGGCGCTGCAGAGCACCTCGGCCCCGGCCTCTGGCGTGGGACTCTGCTCCTGGCAGGGGGTCAGGCTGTATGGAGGGCTCTCCTTCCAGCTCCAGGCCTGCGGGGGGCGCTCTGTTTTGTCCTGATTGAACGAGCTGTTTGGCTGCAATAAAAAAAATGCCAGTTCAGACTTAATGTGCCTGAACGTAATCCGGCCTTGATTTGGCCTCGTCATTCACCATTTACCAGTAGTCACATTAACTTATTAGTGTTATATAGTTAATTGTGTCCAGCATTACTCTATGGCTGGCAGTTTAAGGGCTCGCTGCTCAAAGCTGTCTTCATGTGTTTCCTATAAACTTCACTTTCTGACATCATTAATAAACATTTCTGCGGCACCCTGCATATCCTTACTAGCATAACCATTTGGTTTGTGAATTGCAGATTTACACCTTTAACCCTAAAAATGTGTATTTCAGGCTGCCGTTGCACGCTGCTAGCCTCCCAGGTAAACAGGTTCGTTGTAACTTGTTACAATGACAAGAAACATGTCCTGTCCTGTCCCGTCCTGTCCTGTCCCATCCCATCCAATCCCATCCCATCCCATCCCATCCCATCCCGTCCCATCCCATCCCGTCCCATCCCATTCCGGAGCGAGTTTCTTGAAACCTTAACGCTATATCGTTCGTATTTCTATGTTAAAAGAACTTACGAATGACATAGCGTACAGAAGGCTTCGGGCAACTCACCCATATATAAATATAATGGGAAAATGCTGGAAGCTCACCTGGGGATAGGGGGCGCTCTTCAGTTTGGTCTTAATCTTGATGGCTTTGGCTTTGAGCTGCTTGCGGGAGTCCTGAGGTGAAGCCAGGCTGCTCTTGAAAGCCAGACCTGGCTTGGCACCACTGCTCTGGTCCTGCGAGAGCTGCAGATCCTTGTACTCAACATCTCTGCAGAGGGCACAAACGGTTGTGGGACTGGGTGCTAAACAAGGAGGACTCTAGGATTTTGCAAGGTGGGGGGGGCATAAGAGGGGCTATAATTCATACGAAGCCAATGATGTGTTTTGAATCGGAGAATGACAGGGGAGGGGAGCACTCTAAGCCAATCAGCTTTCAGCTGGGACCTGTGGCCCCATCTCTTTATATACCCCAGGTGTTGGAATACATTTTATTACCCATTATT